ATCACCTCCTGAACAAGGAAAGAAACTTAGAGGAGTTTAAATAATCACGTTTTTGAAATGTTAATATCTTTTATATACAGTCACCTATTTACCCTTTCTGATGTTCTTTCTTTCTGCAGTTCAGTGTTTCAACTGGAATTATTTTTCTTTTTTCTTTTTTTTTTTTTTTTTTTTTTGGAATTATTTTTCTTTAGTCTGAAGAAGTACTTTTAGGTATTTTGTGTAGTATGGATCTGTTGGCAATTAATCCTCCCAGGTTTTGCTTCCTTGAAAGCATCTTTCTTATATTTTTTCTTTTTTCCTTTTATCATTCTAAAAATGTCATTGCATTATCTTTTGGCTTCCATAATTTATATTGCTAAATCTGTTTTATTTTTCCTTTATAAGAATGTATCTTTTTCACTCTGGCTGATTTTAGGATTTTTCTGTGTCTTTGGTTTCGGCATTTAGACTGTGATTATTTCATTTTATCCTAACTTGAAGTTTGCTGAGTTTCTTGAATCTGTGGGTTAATGTTTTCAACAGTTTGGTAGTATTTTTGGCCATTATGTCTTCAGATATTTCTTGTGTTCTGTATTCTTCCTTCTTTCTGGAGTAACAATAATACATATGTTGGATAGCTTAACTGTGTCCCATATGTCTCATGCTTTGTTGTGTTTTCCCCCTCTTTTTTTCTGTCTGCTTCCATTTAGGTATGTTATATTGACCTATTCATTTCACCAACTCTTGTCTTTTGCTCTGTCTAGTCTATTAAACCCATCCAAAGATTCCTTTTGATTCTTTTTCTTAATATTCCAATCCTCTATTGAAATTGTTTATCTTTTTATTCCTTTGTCCATCTTTTTCTTGATTTTTATCATATTTGTAATAATTAGTTTAAACTCCTTGTTTATAAACTCCAGCATCTGAATTATCTCTAAGTCAGCTACTCTTGTCTGTTTTTGCTCTTTTGTTTATTGGTCACATTTTTCTGGCTTTTTGCATGTCTCATAGTTATTATATCCCATATATTTTCTATTTAAGAATTTTTAAGACTGAAGTTGGTTTATTTTCTCTCACAGGAAGTTCTTACTTTCCTTTTTAGCCAGATAGGATAAGAAGATGATTACTTCAAAGAATGTAATTGAGTTGGGGCACCTGGGTAACACAGTTAATTAAGCTAAGACTCTTGGTTTTGGCTCAGGTCATGATCTCAGGGTCCTTAGATTGAGCCCACACAGGGTTCTGCATTCAGTACGGAGTCTGCTTATGATTCTTTCTCCCTTGGAGCGCCTGAGTGGTTCAGATGGTTACACCTCTGCCTTTGGCTTAGGTCATGATCTCGGAGTCCTGGGATGAAGCCTCACATCTGCCTCCCAGCTGCCCAGTGGGAATTCTGCTTCTCCCTCTCCCTCTGCCTCTCGCCCTGCTTGTGTGCTCTCTCTGTCTCTCTCTCAAATGAATAAATAAAATATTTTTTAAAAAAAGATTCATTCTCCCTTGCCCTCTGCCCCTCTCCCCCCTCCTCAAATAAATAAATGAGTCTTTATGGAAAAATGCAATTGAATTGAGTTGGTCTGGGTTTCAGCTTTGGTTGACCCAGTCTATCTTGATTTTGTCTCAGCTTTTGACTGAGAGCCAAACAGATCTCTCTCTCCTTATCCCTGAGTGCTGTGAGTGATTTCGTGTCTGCCCTTTGAAGTTTTGAGTTTAACTCTTTGTTCTTTCACATCATACAGCTCTAAAATTTGGCAATTTTTTTAGGGAGGAGACTGTCATATATTTGTTGCCAGCTCCTCTTGCTAGTGGCACTTTACTTCTAAGTCCTACCAGACTTGAGGAGATTTCACTCTGCCATCCCAGCCCTGCCTCATCTCCCAGCTGCCTATACAACCCAGCATTCAACAAATGCCCTGTGGAGAGGTTCCTCCAGGTTTCATTCCATCATGCCAACCCATGCAACTATCAGGAAATCCACTAGTTTCTCTTTTCCCTGGCAGAGTTTCAAATAGGAAGTCCTCTGCCTATGCCAAGCCCAACTCTCATCTTGTGGTCAGAATGAGCAAATGCCCCTGTAGAAGACAGAGCAATTCAGCTCATCTTGGAAGGGCACTTTCCCTCTCTGAAGCTTTATTTGAATGATGTTTTTAATTGTTGCTGCCATAGATCTCCAGTGTCTATAAAAATATATTTTTGAGTATGTATCCTTTTCCACATAGTTGTTACAGCAGAAGTGATGGCTTCTAACTAGACTACTACATCTACTTTGAAGCTTAAGTTTTCCCCCAGGCATTGAATAGTCTTCTATAATTTAAATGGTATATAGCTTTCAAACATTTAGAATACATTTTATTCCCTATCATACTTTATAATATTGGAAATTTAGAGTAGTTTTTCAACTTACAACAAATATCCTTGTAACTGAATTTTTGATTACATATTTGATGCTTTTCCTTAGGAAAAATTCATTGATGTATAATTGTTGTGTCAACAGGTATGCTTAATTTTTTTAAATTTTACAATTTTGATATATACTGACAAATTTTAGGCAAGAAATACTGTACTAATTTACTTTGACAGTGTGTGAGAATTTTTAATTCCTGTGGGTGGTATATTAATAATATATGACAGGGTTTTACTTCTCTTGTAACACAGCCTACATGTTATCTTAATCTCCAGGAGAATCCAGAAAATGTTAAAACTTTCTCCTCAGTACTAAAGTCATTCTCATGGAATTCAATGAATCCTAGAAAAACAAATTATTAATTTTATTGGCATTCATATTTTGGTTAAAAACATATAAAAATATATATGTATACTATATATTGTAACATACAAACACATGTAAGTCAAACTTTTCATTTTGGTTGGTTTTGGCACATAGGAAGTCCTTAGTCAATTTTTATTGATTGGTTTGGGCATGTCTTGCTTTTTGCATTTTAACTGTAATATCTTTAAGAGAAATTCCATGTTCTTTGGTTTCAGGAAAAAGGAAAGAACTTTTGTTGGAAAATATTGCATATCTTGATATGAATTGGGAGAAAATAGAATATACAACTTCTTTCTTCTTCTATGCTCTTTGTAGTGGGATATTCTACTTGTCTCTGAACAAACACAAAAACTTCTGAGACTTAAATGAGTCTAAGATTTCAAAATCATGTCTTTCCTTTATATGACTATTTTTAAATATCAGCAGTCTGGGTGCATGTTTTTTCCATCTTAGAAGTGGGAAACACCTGAACTTCTAGAGAGGTAAAAATGCTTTTTGATCACCAACAGTGGTGTACTTGGAAATTTTCTGTTCTTCCTCCCATGTTGTAATTATTTAAGCCAACTAGTTAAGATTAATACTTGCTTGACTTTTGTTTCCATTCAGAGATACTTATTCTATTTAAAAAGTAAGACCCGGGGTGCCTGGGTGGCTCAAGTGGGTTAAGCATCTGATTCTTGGTTTTGACTCAGGTCATGATGTCATGGGTAGTGAAATGAGGCACTGTGTCAGGCTCTGCGCTCCGCATGGAGTCTGCTTGAGGTTCTCTCCCTCTGCCCCTCTCCCCACTCACACGTGTGCACATGCTCTCTCAAATAAATAAATCTTAAAAAAATAAAAACCTATTGTGCATTAAAAGTGACTGTTGTGGGACGCCTGGGTGGCTCAGTTGGTTGGGCAGCTGCCTTCGGCTCGGGTCATGATCCCAGCGTCCTGGAATCGAGTCCCACATCGGGCTCCTTGCTCGTCAGGGAACCTGCTTCTCCCTCTGCCTCTGCCTGCCATTCTGTCTGCCTGTGCTCGCTCTCTCCCTCTCTCTCTCTGACAAATAAATAAATAAAATCTTTAAAAAAAAAAAAAGTGACTGTTGTGCATTAAAAAAAGAAAAAGACCCTTAAACAGGTCACATAATCCTTAATATCCAGGAAAATGTACTTTTTCTTTCCTTTTGAAGCTTAACTTGTCATTTTAAGTTATGGAAAATTTCAAGCATGTATAAAAGTCAAGAAGAGTATACTGTAATGCGTACTGCTGTGTCTGCCACCACTTTTGCTATTCCTATCTTTTAACAGTTAATAATTTAAGTGGGAATGCCTTTATTTTGGAATTGTAGTGTATTTTTTTCTGTATAACCTTTTATTTGGTATCATCAAATCATCATTCATTCAGTATGTAGCCCTTAAATTTTGCTTAATTTGATTTTTTAAAGTAAAGATTTTGTTTTTCATGTTTGTGTCGAGCAATTTCTAGCAGTCACCAGGGTGTTTATTTTCATTTTTTTTCTTCATGCTCCAAAATGTGATAATATTGAATACTGTTGCCTGTTGAGCAATGGATGTAAGGAAATCCTTGGACAGAATCTAAAGTATCACCTTGAAAATACAGGGATGTGCAAACGGTGAAGTCTTTTCAGATGTCGAAGTGTTTTTCAAAGGTTGATATTTAGTTTCATGCATATTCAGAAAAGTGTTCTTACCCTCTTTGAGCCAGCATTAGCATGCACAGCCACAGTCTCTGTTTTTCTTAATGTCTTAGTGCAATTGACATTCTTTACTTCATTTCTGCATCACTCTTGAGAAACTCATTGTTTCAGTGTTTACCTAGATGGTCTCCTCTTTGCTTTGTATATTTTTCAGGCTTTTTAAAAACCACTTTGAAAAATAGGTACAGGGTTCTTATGTTTTAATTACCACTGCTTACACATGTGAACGAACACACGCACACTCACACACACTCTCTCACATTTCTGGTAGATTGTTGAAAAGAGGATTTTTTAAAAAGACAAAGGCTACTATGGTAAAGGTAAGCTAAGCAAGGGAATGCAGTGGAGGGAGGGCAAAGACAGGCAGAGTTACTTAAGCATTAAATCCTAATAGCACAGCACGCTACATTCTGGGGTGAAGGCCAGGGGAATATTTTTGCTTGCTCAGGCATCAGGGTTATGCAAACAGAAGCTGTTGCACACCCAGAGTTTCATGATTGAGGAAGTAAACTTGTACATTTGTTTGTTTTTTTGTTTTTTTTTTATTAGGTTCAAAAAGGCATTTGAATCTGAGCCATCGCTACAGTCGGGAATTAATTATGCGGTCCTTCTCCTGGCGGCTGGGCATCAGTTTGAATCCTCCTTTGAGCTCCGGAAAGTTGGTAATTGCCGCTTGATATTTTACATGGAAGTCAAGAAACTGGACCCAACTTGGTACAAAAAAAGAGAATCATTGACAGATAGACCCTTTGCTTTTTAGTTCTATAGGTTTTCTGTTACCGTATCTCCTTGTTTAGTGTTTCATATTATTGCGCAGAATCCTGATATTGGGATGTAATTTGGTTTTTCATTTATTTTGCCTGTTTCTAAAAACACCCTGGTTAATATTTATTGTTCCAGCACAAAATAATATTGAAAATATGGGCTCTGCATTCAGCCTCAACTCCCAAATAATGTTTGGAACATCAGAAATATTTCCTGTTTTAGATTTAGAGGATGAGGAGGAGGAGGAAAGAAGGAGAAGTAGGAGAAGATGAAGAAAAGACCTCTGATACTTTCTATTTCTGATTCTCTTACATACCTTCAAGCACTGTGATTTCAGTGTTATTGGAGGTGAGCCTTCCAAAGCCCCCAAAACAGTAGGTCAAGCAGATGGCAGTGTTGGCAGTGATGAGTCTTCTGAGAGACCATCTCTGAATTGTAGCCATTGATAGAATGTGCTTTTGTCCCTTTTATCTGTGGACATTATCTGATCTGCTCACCCCTCTTTGGAATTTGAAGATAGACTGCATCTTAGTGAATAAATTTTGTGGGGTTTTTTTTGTTGTTGTTGCTTCTGGCTTTCATAACATTTTATAAAGTTTTGCATATTGGAAAACTGTCTATGGTAGTGAGATTTTGCTGTCTTTCAGAGAATCTTTCCAACACTTTTGGAGTCATTACTACAGACCTAGAAATATAATGCCATATTTTTCATAAAGGAAAAAAAGCAATCTTAGCAAATCTATAAATTGTAGAAGAACCTTTTCCTTCTGTTAAGATTTTTAACTGGAGACTGTTTCTGTTTAATTTTTCTTCAAGAAAAATGAGTCCTAGACTTTTTTTTTTTTCCATTATTTGGGAAGGGCTTATAAATGCGTAATGTGGGGCGCCTGGGTGGCTCAGTGGGTTAAGCCTCTGCCTTCGGCTCAGGTCATGATCCCAGGGCCCTGGGATCGAGCACCACATCGGGCTCTCTGCTCAGCGGGGAGCCTGCTTCCTCCTCTCTCTGCCTGCCTCTCTGCCTGCTTGTGATCTCTGTCTGTCAAATAAATAAAATAAAATAAAATCTAAAATAAATAAATAAATAAATAAATGCGTGATGTTCTGGGAAATCCTTTACAGCAAAGTTTGAGTATTAAATAATTTTTGAAGGGCCCCAACTAAAAGAATGATAAAATACTTGTTGCTGCTGGATTGCACTGTTATTTAATGCACAGAGCTTTATTTGAAATAATTTTTTCAGTTGGTAAATGAAATCAGAGAAAATACGTGGCAACTTGTACTCAGAACCAGTGATTATAAAAAAAAATTTTGTATCTGAGTTTGATTTTCAAACTCTACATAAGCCAAAATTCTTCAAGTACTAGTGAGCTAAAAATAATTTGTACTGCTGTGTTCTTGAACTTAAGGTCAAATTTTATTAAGGCCTCCAGATCATTATAGGAATTGACACTGATTTGCATGTGTTGATGGAGCAATAACACAGTGGCTTGAAAATGTACCTCCTCTGAATTCTCATTTTTAAGTTAAGTACAGATTAAAATGATCCGCACTCAGCTAAGAGAGTAGATCTCATTGCAAAAAAGAAATGATAATTATGTGATGTGATGAAAGTATTAGCTAACACCATGGTGGTAACCATTTTACAGTATGTAAGTGTATCAAAGAAACACATTTTACACCTTAAACTTTCAAGATGTTATAATTAAATGTATATTACAGTAAAGCTGAGGGAAAAGAAGAATGGTCAGCACTCTGAGATTTGAGGCACTATGAATAATACAACTTTGTAAAGAAAACGTACCTTACTTTTTTTTCCAAAAAGAACTCATGCATAATATATGTTAAGCAAGCATTTGGAAACATATAAGTTGAATTTTAAATTTTGGAAAATGCAAAAACATACACAGACTGAAAATGTGACTTTTTAGGTTTCTGAAACACTGTGACATGCACTCTAAATTGTATGTCCTTTATAACTAAAATGCAATTAAAACTCACTACTTTAAAGATTTTTTTTTTTTTTATTTGACAGACAGAGATCACAAGTAGGCAGAGAGGCAGGCAGAGAGAGAGAGGTGGAGGCAGGCTCCCTGCGGAGCAGAGAGCCCGATGCAGGGCTCGATCCCAGGACCCTGGGATCATGACCCGAGCCGAAGGCAGAGGCTTAACCCACTGAGCCACCCAGGCACCCCTAAAACTCACTACTTTAGATTCTACTCAATAATAAATTATGCTCATCATCATAGGCTGACCTAAAGTTAATTTTTTATGGCAAAATAGAATTAAAATGATTTTCAAGGAAAAACAGATTAAATAAATTGTCTAATGTAATATTAGTTAATAGTATATAATAAAAAGATTAATAAATAAAACATTTTGCATGTTTTATTTATTTATTAGAGAGAGATCACAAGTAGGCAGAGAGGCAGGCAGAGAGAGAGGAGGAAGCAGGCTCTCTGCAAAGAAGTGAGCCCGACACGGGGCTCGATCCCAAGACCCTGGGATCACGACCCCTGCAGAGGCTTAACCCACTGAGCCACCCAGGCGCCCCACATTTTGCATATTTTAAAGATAAACTTTTAAAAAGTATTTCAAATTTCAAATTTCTGAGTAATTTGTATCTTCTTCTATTCCTTCTCTTGGCCCCCTGCAAATGTACAAATTAGCTTGAACTGTGAGTTCCCTTTAGTAATCAGACTTTTCAAAAAATAAGATCCCTTCTTCAGGTGCATTTTGAAATTTTGATTTATTTATAAAAATAAGCAATTAAAAATTAAGATACCAAAAGATAACCAATAAATTGAAGCATCTTAAGTTTAACCTCTACGGTAAGACCCAATTCTTAGTTTTCCTTGCCTACGCCCAAAGACTCTCAATTCTAGTTGTGTGAGTGTCCGAGATTAAGACTGTTTCATGATCTGTGTTTCACTTTCCCAGTTTTTGGAAAAGCATTAATGTTTAGACTACTTAAAACACAGAACCGCATCTTACATGTTTTTCCTCTTTTAAGCTTCATAAGACTTAAAATTAATATTCAGATGTTAGCCTAATAACAGATGATTTTCCCATCTTCTGGGGATTTTTTCAACTATGAGACATTTTATGGGAGAAAGTCAGAATTATAGGTTTGGGTCCCCAACAATAATTATGGTGTAATGAAAGAACATTGTGCTTGGAATTGAGACAAACCACTATTTGAATCTCATTTTCAGGGAGCAATAAAAATGAAATCTGTATTACTGAATATGAAAGTCCATGATTCTATAAAGATAATTTTAAAAAGGAAATCAAAACAAAAACAAAATCCATCACCAACTACAGAACAAATCATTTGTCCTGTATGGAGGTGACCAATTGCTCAGATACTTGGAAATTATAGGGAAGAAATTCGGTACCTTCCCTTCTTTTTCAAGAGCTATTATAGCTTGTCTAGTTAATGAGGTAGACACTCTTCTTAAAGTATGCTTCATACTAAATGTATTATTCCAAAAGAGAACATACTCTTCAAAAGAATTCTAGTTAAGGAAGTAGAACGATAAGGCTCACAATAGTAGTGATGTTGAAATAATGATTCTGGCAAGGGTCATAAATTAGAACTAATATCATTAAGTGAAAATATTTATTTTTTTTTATTTCATTTTACCATATTTACCTGATACCAAAGCTCCCTCACAGATTTCTTGTTAGTTGTAAAGGACAGATGTACCTACACAGTCCATTCTATATATGCCCTCCAGAGATCTGGCCCTCAGTGATCCAGTCAGCATCCCTAACAGTGAGATGGCCCAGCGGTGCCTCTTCCTGGGATGAACAGGGGGTAAAGCAACATCTCCAGTAAAACAGACTCGCCAAAAATGTTTAACCCAAATTGTAAGCTCTAATGTCCAGCTAATAGGAATTGCAGTGGCTATAAAAATAAGTCAAACAACACAAACATGTGACACATTCATGCCAAGGTCAAAGCTAAATGTCACCCTTATAATATGAACTTCCAGCATGCAAGAGTAAGTAAACCTGAAATTTTCTTTTAAAACTTTTACGGTAATTTTATGATCATACATTTTCATAGTCCCTATTTAAATGTTTGATGTGATTTGCTACTAGATCAATCCTTGGTTCATTTCCTGCAAGCATGACACAATAAAAATAGCTCATTTTCAGACGAAGTTAGTAGAAATACCCATTTTTACTATCTCATTTTCCCTCTACACTTTCTTCTTTCCTTTGTATTTGTTGGATTTTTTTTTTTTTATTATTATACTCAGATAGGAGATCATGGATGTTGTTGCATACCTTGGTATAATCTTTTCATCTTACGAAATTTTTAGGAACAAAGTCATTCTCTTTCTAACTTATCACAAAATGTGAAGGATTCCCAAATGGACTTTTTCTTGAAATACTCAGGGCTTAAATGTATTATATCCTAAAAAGTAGCATTAAGTTTTTTAAGGCTAATTTTGTTTTGTTAAAGTATAATTTTCCAAAAAATTTTACAGTTCTCAGGAAATATAAAATATAATACTTGGAAAGATTTTTAGGGGTGCCTGGGTGGCTCAGCTAACTGAGTATCTGACTCTTAATTTTGGCTCAGGTCATGATCTCAGGGTTGTGAGATCAAGCCCCCCATCGGGCTCCACACTTAGATGGAAGTCTGCTTGGTATTCTGTCTCTCCCTCTGCCCCACCCTCTGTGCTCTCTCTCTCTCTCTGTCTAAAAAATAAATAACATAAATCTTTTTTAAAAATTTTTATGTAACTCTGTTAATATGGAAAACAGTAAGAGGATATGTGTAGTTCAAAGTGCACTTTAGAAGCTGAGGTATTCATAGACAATTTAACAAACATTTCTGAGTTTGATTGGAAAAAAAGCAGAACTAGTTCAGTCCCAATAGGTCATAAATCTTAGGGATTATCTGTTTTACTAGACAGAAAGTATTTGAATCTCTACTAAACCAAAATATGCAAGTTAACAAGTAAAATTCTCTAAATCTGAGATCTTTAATGAATAGTAAACAGTGAAATTAACTTGTTACACTTTCTGTAGATAGTCCTTAAATGTGGCCTGATGCCCCTGTGAAGTATTGAGATGACATGGCCCATCTATTTTACCTTGGCCTCAAATCTCAGATAATTTTCCTGATTCTTTAATGTTGTGAAAGCTAGTGGCACTTAACAATTCTACAAGGGTATATTCTCTTTGAGCAAACAAAGGATTACAAATGCAAAAATAACACAGGGCAGAGTAGAGACAAAAATTTATAATGAAATGCAAAACACCAGGAAGAATCAAAACGATCTTGAAGAATGAAATTGGGAGGATTTACATTACCTAACTTTCAAGTCTCGTTATAAAGCAACAGTAATCAAATAGTACTGTCAGTTTCCTTATTTCCTTAACTTTTAAGTGTCTAATTGTTCTTGGATATTTGTAGCATTTTACTCTTGCAAAATATATATACTATATACTTTTATACTGCAAATGAGTGATAGATAGTGTTGCATGTTTCCGTTTCAAGCAACTAAAGAATTCATGATATTATAAGGGAAGCAAGGTGCTTTCATAACAAGATATTACCACCTTTTGATTTATGCATATGAAATGCAAGCATACATTAAAATTCAGGAGTGATGTACACCAAAGTGACAGTGGCATTTATCTTTGGATCTTCAAAATAAAGGGAATTTTTTTTTCCACAATGAACATAAGCCACTTTTATAATTCAAACTTAAAGCTATTTGAATCTAAAAGGAGGAATGAAAACTTAATTTTGTTTTTTAATAAAAAGTCTGCTCTGCCTTGGTGCTGTGTGTTTGTAACATTATGCTTCCTGATGATCTTCTAGGGGTGAAGCTGAGTAGCCTCCTTGGCAAAAAAGGAAACTTAGAAAAACTTCAGAGCTACTGGGAAGTTGGATTTTTTCTGGGTGCCAGTGTCCTGGCCAATGACCACATGAGAGTCATCCAAGCATCTGAAAAGCTTTTTAAACTGAAGACACCAGCATGGTAATAGTAAACTCCTAGGTGTTTGAGCAAGTACTTTTAATAAACAACACTTATCACTTATTTCCAAATTGTTATATTTGTTGAACTGACAATTAGATGATTTCATTTGCTTACAGAATGAAATGCAGAATTTAGAGGGAAAACTGTTTATAAATGTGTTGCGTATAGGTTCTGATGACTTTGGATGCAGGTGATGTCCTCTGGCCTTCAGCTTAGCCTTGTCATGACACTGACCAACCACTAGCTCAGGTTGGCCAGTGGTCCCCACAGGAAGCCAAATTTGACACCTGTGCATTGATTCGGTATTTTCAATTTTCCATGTCAGCCTCCCACGTTTCTGCCCCAAACACACACCCTTTGTTCTCTTTATGGCCCTGTCTCAGTTTGGGGGTTCTTATTCTTGATTTTCACTTCTCTATGCTTAAGGCTTATTTGCACCATTGAATGTTTCATCTATGTGTGTTTTTCTAATTTCAACTTGTTCTTGGAGTGCCCCCAAGTCTCATCCTTCTGTCTGTGGTAATTGAAGAGATGAAAGCACTTAGGAGTGCCTTTAGGACTATTTTGGAAAACAATGCTGATTTTATTATGCATCCCAGGTAATGATTACTAGCTGTAAAGCCTTTAAAAGGTTTACCATGGTATCAAGAAAGGCTCAGGTTGGCTCAGAGCCTGCGCCACTGACTTGTTTTCATCAGAGAAACTAATTCAGGACATGCTTTCCCAAGTAGGTTCCCATGACTCCCCAAAGAGTTTCCTCACATTCAGGTCTTCTCATGGGCAAACCCTCCCCAATGTCACACCCATAGGGATCCTTCTAAAATTCATGTCTGACCCTTACCCCTTGCCATGGAAATCCTTATTACATTAAAGGAGTTTAATGGCTCTTCACAGTCTAGGGTATAAAGTCTACCTTCTTGGCTTAGGGAACAATGTTTGTCTTTAGTCACTCCAGACTCAGACCATGTCACATGCCCCCAATTACGTGGCTCTCTAGTCACACGGAATGGGCCAGACTGTGGCTTCACGCGCACGCTGCGCGTGCCTCTTCTGGCCTTCTTCTCCACCTGTGGACGCTCCTAGATCACCTCCACACGCAAACCAGACCCTGACTTAAAACCCTTTCCTGCCTGCATCCAGATAGAAGCACGCATGTGATTAGTTCATCTTATGAAATCTGCTTTCATGTTTCTCTCATTTTAAAATCTTATTTCTCTGGAGAGTGACTAGTCGTATCTCAGCATAGTTGTAGCCCGATTGAGATGTAGGTCGCTTTGCTGTGTACCTTTCACATTTCTATCTCGTCAGCAGTCTGTGCTACATAGGGACACAGCTGTGCTCTCTGTGGGATGTCTACAGTCGGTGTTTGACAAGGAATGAAATAAATGAATCAGTCAATGCGTGTGTTACATGCAGCCTCTTTTGTCATTGCTTTACAATGATCATCATGATGGTACAGAAGGGGATGGAAGCACAGGTCAAAAGAGCTCTGGTTTGAGGTGTCCCAGCTTCTGTTGACAACAGAGAAAACATTATTTTATGCAATAGTAATAACAACCGCGAAATCTTGCCTTAAGTTCCATTCACTTACTGTTAATTTCCATGTTTATAGTTTACAACCCAGTATCTCATATAATTATCGTGCTCCTCATCTTTTCCTAGCTTTTTCCTTTGAGGCACCATCTGTCTTGTTAGGTTGGAGGATATTTGTATAACATATAAGCTAAGTTGCTTCACAGCAAAATAATGATCTCTTATGAAGGGTCTATTTAGAAAAGCTTTCTCAAGGAAGCATATTTTAGAACAAGTGTGTTAACCACTCCCTTGAAGAGGATAGGCATTATTTTAAAAGGCATGTTTTCAGTTGATGTATCATCCAGCCCAAGCAATTTGAGCTCTCTACCCCTCAATGGATCATCTTTAAAATGGGGATAAAATAGCTTACTTTGTTGGGGCACCTGGGTGGCTCAGTCAGTTAAGCAGCCGACCCTGGATTTCAGCTCAAGTTGTGGTCTCAGGGCACTAACATGGAGCCCGGCATCCAGCTCTGCACTCAGTATAGGGTCTGCTTGCCTCTCCCCTGCCCCTCCCACTCAGGCTCGCTCTTTTTTCTCTCTCAAATAAACAAATCTTTTTTCTTTTTTTTAAAGCCCACTTTATTGAATTTCTGTAAGATTTAAATGAGAGAATGTGTATGAAAGTGCATGACATGTCACAAATAGTGAATAATGTTTGGTGAAATCTGAATGCATAAATACTAAAATCATATTTAGATCTGCCTGTTATGTGTCTTATATCTTTTTTCATTTTTAGGTACCTCAAGTCGATTGTAGAGACAATTTTGATATATAAGCATTTTGTGAAACTAACTACAGAGCAGCCTGTGGCCAAGCAAGAGCTCGTGGACTTCTGGATGGACTTCTTGGTCGAGGCCACAAAGACCAATGTTACTGTCGTTAGGTTTCCAGTGAGTACTCTTCGTTTAGCTTAACTTTAGCTGCAGTTCTCGTTTGCTTCTTTTATTTAAAGAACATTTTTGCACGTGATTCTAACAGTACTAGTGTTACTTTTTTTTTAAAATAACTTCTCAAAATCGGGGACGTGAGATACATTTTTGTTTTTGCTGTGGAATTTGGTGATTTCTTTCGATAAGTTGTGAAGCATGCTTTCCAAGAAAAGATTGTCTCTTGCTTAGCCTCAGTCAGTCAACACATTGCTTCAGACCAGAGCCAAGGTTGCTGTTAATTCCTACGACAGTTGTGTGAACATTGTCATCAATGTCGACACCGTTACTGTGGTGAGAAGTGTTGTTACTCACCTCGGTCATTATTCCCTCTCCACCGCTCATTACCCACATGGGTCAGAGTTAGATGGAGTGTCCTCAGTTCCCAGTCACATTTTACAGTCCCTTAGATCGTGAGAAATGATGACTCATAGGTTCCGATTTGCTGCACACGTTGGCTAGATATAGATACAGATATATGTATAGTAGACACACACACACTTTCAAAAATATATTGCTCATCTTCTCAGCTGTGCCTTTCCCATCCTGATCGTTCTCAGAATACCGCCCAAAGCAGTATACGCTTTAGCATCCAATTCAGGAACCACTGGCAAGTCACTGTGTGCCCTCAGCTCTTCCCACGTCCAAGTGATGCCATCAATCTCTCTGTGTGAGCTCTCAGGTCCAATCCTCCATACTCAGGTGGTGACAACTCTCAGTTCTTTTTCTAAGATCTTGTTCCCTAATTCTTGTTTATAGGATCATCTGTTTCATTTAATTAAATCCATTGCTGGCATTAACAGGCTTTCTTTACTCTCCCTTCCCGATGAAGCCTCAGCGCAGCAGGATCTTCAGCTGAAAAGCCTTTCAAACTAAAAACACTTTGTTTTCCAGCCTAGATAATGCGTAGCCTAGGAAAATACTTGTCTCACAGTGAGCTGGCAGCGTGCCCGCAGCTGAGGCTCCAATGGGAGCAAATGCCGTGAAAGAAGACAGCGCAGAACTGTCTGTATTGAGTTGACTGTTGACTTGATCGACTAGAAAATTGGCGATGAAAGGAAACCACTCCTCTTAGCTATTCTGAGCTCATTTAAATTAGTTTAGTATGAATTTGTCTGTCATACTATGAATGTCAAAAAATAAAACCAGCAGATATTAAGAAGTTAGGAGAATATAGGTATATACTCCAGGTGGAGAGAGGTGAGAGAGGCTTTCTTAAGCAAGAAAGGGACCTGTAAGCCCTAAAGGCAAATATTAACCTATTTGATTCAATAAAGTTTTGTTCAATAAACTAACTTTTGTTCAATAAAGAGCATCACGGACATGGCAAATTCTAAAGAGGGAGAAGGTATTTAATACGAATGTAGCAAAGTTATCGATTTGCCTCATAGGCAAAAAGAAAAAAAAACTACTAATTGGTAAGAAAAAAATGGGCAAATCATATGAAAAGATAATTAACCTCATTAGGTGGTCAAAACATGCAAATTAAAATGAGACACCATTGTACTTGTGCCATTTTGCACACGTGTGCATAAATCTGTGGTATCAGTTCCCTGAAGTGGAATTGATTGAGTTTGCATGTTGCCCTCCCTAGGGATTATATCAATTGGCATCTTCACTGGCAACATACAGGACTGACCGCTTTCCTAAAGTCTCTCCCCAAAAAGTATGTTTATCATATTTATACTTTTGCCAAACCTACAGATGAAAAAATGGTACATTGGGATCATTTTAATTAGTAATTCTCTTATTTTGTGTGGGGTTGTGCATATGATTGTGTCTGTGTTTAAAAGACCACTTGGAGATTAAAAAAGAAAAAAAAAAGAATTTGTTGCCTGCATTTAAAAAATAAGGAGAGTTAGATCATCAGTGCTGACTATAAATGGTATTGGTATTGGTATTGGTATAAATAACTGTAAAGTCTGAATAAAATATATAAAATACTGTTTCTAGACATTAAATAGCAATTATGACAGGGTTGTGATCCCTGGGCAGGGAGGCACTTGAAGTGAGTCCCACCTCACCTACTTTTTTCCCTTAAGGCCTTTTTCTGGCTGCCACACCAGGAAGTAGTGCCCTAGCTGGGTTCGGTTGTCTCTCTGGGAGGAGCAGGCTGGAGGAGTGTTTGGGACTCTAAGACAGGTGGAATATGAGAAGCAGGGTGTTGGAGAAGGGGGAGTCTTAAAGAGTGAATCCCAAAATTCTGCCTGGGTATTTCCCTTGAGCCACAGAGCAACTCCTAGATAGTGTGAGCAAGGGGTAAGCATAGCATGAATAAACACAACTAACTACTGGTCTCAGTATTCAACCAAAATTGGGTTTTAGATGAAACCTATGTGGCTTAAGTAAACCTTATCAAGGTAAATCCCCTTGCTAGTTAGAAGATCAGGACCAGAAGTGGTAGAGAGCATTCTTTGGAAGGTTGAGAGCTGAGCAGATATCCCAGAACTTAAACAATTTAGGAGGAGTAAGACGTTAGACTTTGGGTCTAGCCAGAATGATGAGATCTTGATGAATACCCCAAGGATTTAGAGGAGACAGAGAAAACCCATGCCCTAGGAGTAAAGGCAAAAATAAAAGACCCACCCTAATAAAGCTGTGATAAAACTAAGCCTCCACAGAATCAAGGTGATGCACTAAAAATTTGACTGCTAGCTAGGGGGCAGGGGTAGGGAAACCTCTGGAAAGATGCGGTTCAGAGCCTCTGCATTGGGTCAGACACAATCAAAGATTACTGGACATTCTAAGAAGCAGAAAAAAAAAAAAGTGACCGATAACGAAGAGCTTAAAGAGCCCATAGAGGCGGGCCAGAAGTGATTCACATATTGAAGTTACCGGATAAGAACTTCAAATAACTGTAATTACCATGTTAAAAAAGACAGAGGAAAAGATAGACAAAATACATGAAAAGATAGAGTATTTCAACTGAAGATAAAGTTTATAAAAAAGATGAAAAATGAGAGTTCACATAAAAATCTAGATTTTCATCTACTGGAAAATTAAAGGGATTGGCAGTTGGACTGCCTTTTTCAGAAGCAACAACCTACTAAGTCAACTATCTGTATACTGCCATTCTCGACATTGATTACAGTCCTATCCTTCCTGTTTCACTCATCTGCCTTTCTCACTGGGCCCACTTCCTGCAACCATTGGAATTTGCTCCCCATGTTCTACCGCATAGAGAAAGGCAGGTGTCTAGTACCTGTGGTACCATGTCAGTCACTAACTCATTGCATCCTCAGAGTAGCATCCTTAGGTCATACTTACGAAGGCCACAGTAGGTCTTGATTGGAGGTGATAACATTTTCCTTCTTTTAAAGTGGATCTGGTTGAAACCAAGATTACTTATATTAGAAAATATTTTATTTGATTGCTTCTATTTATTTCACTACCGTATCCATTCTCATTCCTCAAAGAAGTAACAGTGACCCTGGGTAAAAGAAGACAGACCAAAGTTTCTTTGCAAAATGATTTAAATAGTCCCTTCATTTATTATTATTATTTGGGTTTAGTTCCATTGATTCTTTTTTCTCACCTCTCTTCTCTGTGTATTTTCTTTCCTTCCTACGTTGAAAAGTTAGGGGACCATCAACCCCTCACCCCAGGTCAGGTGAGAGGAAGTGGAGCGTGATGCTTTTGCAGACTCTTGTAGAAGCTGAGACATGTAACTATTTAATTTCTACCCTGTATAGTTTATAGGTCTCATTGCCCTCCTTCCTACATCAGATACAAGGTGTTAGATGTTCATTTTTTTTAAATTTTTAGCCATCGATTTTAATGTTACCAGTAGAAACGTTTAGGAACTAAAAGCAAGAATGTTCATACTTTCAAGTGAGTTTTATCTAACTGTTTTTGTCAAATTACCTCCTCTTCCATACCCTTCTCTTGGTCTTTCTGTGACCTCTGTAATGTATGCAATGAATTCCTCTCATTTTTGTGATTTCAAGGGCAGATCAAAGGGCTGGACAAAGGTTAATGATAATTACAACCAATTTTGATTTTCTATCTTGACATAGGAAAACATAGGTCAGATTTTACCTGTTAGAAATATGTGAAACAATGATAAAGACATAAATTTAAGAAGAGGAGATAACCTGGTGCTGTGCTTTTCTAATGTTAAATTCTGTGCCCACATGATTAGGGAACAAGGTATATTCTCATTTGTGGGTACAGTGACTTGGATGCTATTTGGAAGACCTGCCTTTTATTCCCTATTATTCATCTTGTTTCACCAAGCCTGGGATACTCAGATTTGAGAGCAGCAGTTCTGCCAAGATAGTTTGAAAATTTGTTTCCATTATTAATCAGCACCACTTCACTGTCTGTTGATTGGAATTTGGGCCTTGATTCTCCTGGTATGTTCCTAAATCAGAATATGTTCCCCAATGGGCTCTTCTTGTGCTTTATTTGTGGTCTCTTCTATCTTATTTTCATAACTGGAGCCTGACTGAGAATTAAGCCCTTATGTATGTTTGTTTTTTAATAATCAAAAGTAAAGAAAATTTTGTTTTCTTAATCCCCTTTCTGTAGTTCTCTGTACCCTAATTTAAATAAATTTTACTCTTGTGGTAAATATAGCGTAAAATCAGTACACTGTGTTTGCAGCGGGTGGCCGAGAGTCGGGTGGTCAATCCACATACTTTCTCACTCAGATTGTGTGTTAGCTTACTCTGTATTGTGAGTCCATAATCCCTTGCTGATGAAGTCTTCTGAAGAGTTTTCCTCCACTTTTATTTGGTCAACTTGCTTCATGTAAGATTCTTTCTAAAAGTCAATTTTCTGGCATTTTAAGCAGTAGGGTAGAAAGAACTAGTCTAGGTTCTCTGATAATTTAGTATTAACTTTTCTTTCCTTTTTTAAATGTTCCTACTTAAGACTGCAGAGGAAATTTGAGCTAGGTGGGCGCTTTTAAGCATCTGTGTAAAAAGATTATAGTTGCATCACCTTTAAAATCAGTGCATGTGTGGTATCTTAATGTTATTTGCACATAGTATCAGATATTAGTAATACTGTACTACATCCTTTGAGAGAGATTGTCAACTCAATTGTAATGTACACCTCATACATCTCCAAAACAGGAGTAAGTTTTACTTCCCTCTTTTTCTATCATAAGACTAAATATATCATTATTGAAGAGCCCAGTTTTATCTTGAAAGCAACAGAAAAACATTTTTATTGTTTCATACAGCTGTGTCCATTCCTTTGGCTTATATATAAAAGTCTTTCAATAATAACCAAAATCATTTTTCAATCCATTCATGTAGGGAGGAGAACCATCCTGCCACATCTTGTCGATAAGGTGTAGCAGGAGAAAACCGAAAATAGTACATGATGCTCTATATGTGGAATCTTTTCTATGTACAGAATTATTTGCTTTACCACATTTCTGCCTTTTTTGGACACATTTAGATTTATAGAAATAGATTTTGCACTTACAGCAAGATAAAATAAAAGACCTTAAAAATATCTTTCGAGTAAATTCCCTGGGGATAGTCAAACCAATATATGGACTTCAAAAATTTATTTCTAATTTCTTTAGCAGAAAAAGTGATGTATTACTGGAACTTAGGATAATTGTGTAATACCAAAAGTGCTCAAAGAACTCATAGGGAAGGCAACAGTTAGGAGTTAAAATGGTTTTCCTGCAGTTGTGGACCCAGAGCCTCATCCAATAATCTCCCACATCAGTTCAGTATTGCTCTAACAGCTCTAAACGCCTTAAATCTCCAGTTACTAATGTGTGTTTCTTTGCCTTATGTTTTCAAGGTATTAATATTGGAACCAACCAAAATCTATCAACCTTCATATTTGTCTATCAACAATGAAGTTGAGGAAAAGACAATATCTATTTGGCACGTGCTTCCTGATGACAAGGTAAATTATGTAATTATTAAGACAAGAGCATTAATAGAGAAGGACTTTACTCCCTTCCAGCACTTATGTATTCCAACAAATATCTGCATTACGCAAGAAGAAATAGCTTCACTGTGTATTTATCTCGGCATAGATACATCTTGTAGTATAAATTTGTTAAAGTTGGGTTACAAATTTCACTCATTTAGTAAAACATAACTTATTCGGATTTTTAATAACCATCCAAAGTACGCTTAAAATGAGACGGTTTCTCTGTTTTATAAATTCATGCTATAAATTATGTGTGGGAGACCTGAGACTTAAAAGATGCATATCTTAATTCTAGAAAGCCTATCAGAATAAGACCACTCTAGTCCTACTCGAGTATGATTATAGTTATCATTTCATGACACTGTTTGGTTATCTAAGCAGCTGCTCGATTTCAGATTAGCCCCTGGCTCCATGAGCTGGCACGGCCTCAGTGGGGCTGTACTGCCCTGGTTTGCAGATGGGTCTGAAATGCTCTCATTTCTCCCTACAGCAGTCATTTTAGTAACTCCTTCCACTTCTGGATTTTATCAGTTTTGATGCATGTGTAAATCTTACTATTTTTTTAAGTTAGAAAAATTGTAAGACCTGATTCCAATCCATTGGATCAACCACAGAAATGAGAGAAGTCTTGTGGCAAAGTAGTTTTGTGGGATTTTTGGTAATTGTTTTCCAAAATATCCTTAAATTTTCCTTAACAGTCATCCTTAACAACTCAACAAATATTTCTGGAGCACTTACTCTGTGATAGGAGCTCCCAGGCACTGTGTTAGGCACGAGGGAAACAGATGTATACAAAATAAGCAAAATTCCTGCTGTCTACTCAGGCAATAAGTAAATACAATATAGAAGTATATTAAAGGGGAAAATATGGCAGAAAGGGGGAGTTAGGGAGTACATTTGGAAGCATGAGTTTGCAATTTTTAAAAATATCCATGTCAGCTTTAAAAATGTCTTTGAGTGGAGGGAGGAGTCAAGATGGTGGAGAAGTAGCAGGCTGAGACTACTTCAGGTAGCGGGAGATCAGCTAGATAGCTTATCTAAAGATTGCAAACACCTACAAGTCCAACG